GAAAGTTAAAGCTGACGGTATCGTGCTACTCATTAACAAAATAAGTAGGTGTGATCATTTATCAACAATTCATGTGCCCAATCGTCTTTTACTGTTCCAAACCTATTCCCAATGCTCCGAAAACGTATTGCAATTACCATTTTAATGGTAAGCTAAACGGTCCCTAGGTAAGCACTGGCAATGTTGATTTTTGCTCCTTTTCCTAGGTCTTTTTTACTGCTTGTCTGGTAAGATTTTGCAGACCGAAACAAGTGAACAGTTTTTCATAGAATTATATGAGATTTTGAGCCATGAAATAGTCAAATTCATCAATATTTAACTCGGTCAGTCATTGGAGTACAACGTTAAGTCACGATGAATTGCTTTACTGTGATTTTTCAATGCTTTTTTTATCAGGAACCGGATAGCGAGAAGACAAACAACGGAATCCACTATCGACTACGTCTCCTATTGCCAAACGGTATGCTTTACTTTAAGCGACTTGGATTGGTAGAATAAGTGAACTATAAATATCCATGGAAGCATCTGTTTACTATAACTGAAAATTCGCCTTGATGCCATCAGCCACCTTCTCTGCAGAGGCATTTACGGACCATCTAACCGCATCCAAGGCGAGACCAATCACCTGGAAAGAAGCTAATAGCCTTCTTTAATTCGTTTTTTGCTTGTAGGCTTCCAACAGGACCAGGATATCTACGTGAGGCTGGTCGACTCCTCTAATAAGCAGGTTTGCCATTCTGATGAGGCGCATGAAATGTGCTTAAGTTGATCTGAGGCTGTAGAATTTAAGAAGAGCAATAAAGTGGCGAATTCGCTGCACTTCCTTGGATGCAATAGTGCAATTGAATTACTGGAGGTTACCTTTTTCTTGAAAGAGTTCGCCAGAGAAACAAAAGAAACTGAACGATTTTAGGTCAGCGCAAGTAACTTCGTCTTTGAACCGAATGGCACCAACCAGTCAAAACCCCAAACTTTTATGCTTCCCACTAACACAAGAGGACTTGTCTCTTGTGCAATGCCCTCACGGGACGGACCAATTTTGATCCACTTTGGCAGTGCTGTTGTTTCGCTGAGTGTCCATAGAATAAAATGACCATCGAAGTTGTGAGTTCAGATACGGTAGAGACGAGAGGACGCATCATTGACGGGTACACTTACATGCTTATTTGAAACGGTATGAGGTTGGCGTTCTCCTTTAGCCAATCGCCTATGAAGGCCAGGACAAGAATCCAGAGATGTGCCGAGTCCTGCTTACACACGAGGTGATGTGCAGTCGATGCTGTGACAAGAAGAGCTGTGGCAACCGCAATGAGACTCCGTCAGATCCCATAATCATCGATAGGTACGTCAACGCCAAGAAAAGCATTTAACATCCTTAGCCATCTCATTAGGGGAGAAGAAATATCGGTGATGCAGGTAATGGATTATGACAAAGGGATTCCGTGGCATCCATAGTACTAGTGGAGAGCTTGAGTGTTTTAAAATATCATTCCAACAGCTGTTAATTTAATGCATTGTCCTTCTCATTCTCCGATTGCCTTCTTCAACGCATTTATCAATTTGGCTTGACCGAGTCTTAAATTGACGTTGGAATGGGAGCACATTTCTCATGATTACGGCTCTTATCCCCTCGGCTGGGATGCATTCGTGCGGAAAGATGACCCTTAAAATTTTCTTTGCTTAGCTGAGTTCGAATTAAAGTTGACTGTCACAACCCGTTGTCTCCCTGCACCTAGCCGTCCCCGCGAAGACTGCCCCTTCGCAAACTCCAGTCTTGATTTTAGTGGACAAAATTATCATGTCCTAGTATGCTAGAAGGTGCTTCTTTAATTTAAATTATTTTCTTAAACTGTTACAATTTCATCGTTGCTTCAAAGTGGCGTACCAGTTGTACATTTTTAGTTCTGGCCATCGTGTACTCCGTATTCTAACCAATTCCGTCCTATGATTTTCTCCATTCTATACGAGTAATCAGGATCCAGCAATCTGAATTGTTTTGATTGTGAAAGAATGCGTAAGCTAGAGTGGGAAAAGGCCTTTGTCGCATCAGCACAGTTTTCCTAAGGGACTTAAAGGATGGCTGCTTATTTGCATCCAAATCGGCCTTAGCACCATTTGTTACACATAGAAGGAGCAAGTACTTGTCAAGATGCTTAATAACTTGCGGTTTCGAGCATCGACACCCGCTGCGATGGTGGCTGAAGGGAGGAGGGGAAGGGAGGGGAGGGGAGCAGGCGGCTAAATGCATGCCCCCGGTGACATATGCTAAGGTGTATCGAAATCTAATTGTATAATTGGTCGGTCACCTCCCTTTGCGGCTGCAATGTCACCCGGCTGGAGAGGTTTAATTATACCAGCGGACTCTAATTGCTACCTCTTAAGACCGTTGAGCATTGTTTTCTTCTATGTCCAACAGCACCGATAAACTTTTTGCCTTGGTCGAAAATGCTAATCGCTTGAGACGACTTTAAAAAAAGTAATGAATTATTTTGTCAACTTCATTGACATAGTCAAATTTAACGGGGCACGTCGACATCCGCCTCCGAGCATTGTTAAAAATGTTCATGCTCCAGAGACGGCTATTCATGATCAACCTCAGATCAGAAGTTAAATGGTGAATGACAGTCGCCGTAATATTAAACTAATAAACCACCAGAGGCAAGAAGCAACATTTCACTTTTGTGATCTCCATACAGGTGGTTGAACACGCCCGTATAATTTAATGATTGATCCCATCTTCTAGCAACAGTGTCTTGTTGATAGCCCACATGAGGGAGAGGAATTAAACGGGCGTATTTTCTCACCCATAAACGTGTTGTCAACACCACTGCAGTCGGGGTGACCTTAGTAACCATATGGCCACGTTATTAGATTAGAAATGGGTCAATTAAAACTTATTAATGTATCCTTAGGTATTTTCTCAAATTCTTCATGAAGTGCAACCAAAATTGCCTCAAAAATGCCGGCAATCCGAGAGATATGAGGCGATTTCAAGTGAGTTTTGAACTCTTGTTTAAAAAGTGGACTATTTACGTGACCACCAATTTTTATCATCCACTTTTCGTTGCATTAAAGTGTATGCGCCCCAAAATTGTAAAGCATGTAAATCCTGACTGTTTTGAAAATTGGTCTTCAGGTTGCTATTGCGGCCACACCTTCACTGGAGGGGAGTTTGTTAGCCTTTTCCGACAATATGTTTGTTCACAACAACTCAAAGCATGGAAGGCGCGTTCGTCGTATGGATCCGCCGGAAGAAAGTATGTTTTTGTGTCCTTTTATGGAAAAACAATAACAGCAATGCAAAAACAAGTTCAAATAATGCATTACAATAAATATGCCCCATAAATGGGCAGATTTAGCAATAAGTTTATGGTCAAAGTTAAAAAAACCTCGGCACTTTGAGACCAATCTAAGAGGTTGAGAAAAATTTAATGAAAATCGACTTTACCATGCACTAGTTCTATTTGGTGTAAAAAATCGATTTATTGATTAGTTGTTATGCTCTGCGGTCTCGGCATGGCGCTTGCGCTTTGTTCAATCGGAGAAACACGGTAAATCACACTTTACCCGTTTCACTGTTTTTTTTAAATTTCACTTAGGAATCACTCTGAAGAGGATACTTTTTTAGGAGGTGATGCTCAGACTATCATTACGAACCACAAGTTATAACACTCTATGGGCACTATTACATGATAACCAAACCACTAAGGTCTTTGAAAGCACCCTAGGGGTTTACCATGGTTCTTTCTGGACGATGTGTCAAAATTCAATTATAGGGTGTTGCTGCCGCTACTACTGCGTTAGCCACAACCACCACATCTCAACCGTTGACACATTTCAACTAGATAAACCCCCATTTTTCCTCTCCCCTTGGCCTCCTAATCCTGGCCGTTCGCACATTAGGCGGAGGAAATTAGGCTTGCCCCTTGCCCTGTGGGACTTTTTTCCAAAATTAGTCGGCTGCCCTGTGAAGCAACCGAACTGACGGATGGACTAAAAGACTGACAAAAAATTGGTGTTAGAAAAAGAATCGCATAAACAAATGGTGGAAGCTTTGAGGGATTTCTTATTTATTTCTGGGACCGATGATTAGCCAATTGATAACGTTCTTGATGTCGTGATTTGTGCAGGTTTTGATGAACGCTTGGCATAGGAATGTAAGTTTCAATTGTGCAAAAAAATGTGGTAAATGTTTGGGGTCATTCTACAGGCAATTATCAAAATTTACCTAATCAGCACTACACAATGGTGGTGACTTTAAAAACTTGATGTCTGACGTTAATGAAAATTTTCAAAAATATTTTGCTCAGCTTAAGAGGATGAGGTTGGGGACTCAGCGTTTTGCTGCCACTGCTCCTGCTACTAACAATAGGGTAATAAATCTGCTTCCAATTAATTTCGAGCTTAATGGGATGGAAAAAGGGGGCGGTTTATTTTGCTCTCTCCGCAGGAGAGGCGGCGGTTCAATCGCACCTCTTGACGTGGTAAAAAGGACAGCGTGGGAATTTGAATTTTCTTTACTCTGGTTATTTGTTTGCAAAGCCCTTGTAGATTAGCCTGGTTACTAAGATATTGATGTGCCATCTTAATACGTTGTTCGGTAGTGCGGCACCTTCAACTAGACCTGTTAGCTACCGACTCCGCGTTTGAGCGATTCTTCAACCTTTTATGGGCCGAGCGTTACGTGTTCCCCAACTTGTGTCCCTTTTCGATTTTATGGACCCTTCTGGTACCAAATTTGTAGCAAACAGATGGGCTCACTTTAGACGTTAGCAAAGTACTTACTTTGGAAATCGAGTAGTATAACTACTGACAAATCAGGAGCAAATTATTTCGGTGTCTAAGACTAGAAGGCGTTAACCGTAAATAGCATGCATGATCAAAAAAATTTGAATGACTGAGGGTGAACTGTTAGTAGGCTGCTATCCAATCTTCCGATTTGACACGCGGCCATTCACAAATCCGAAGACCCCTTTCCCTTCTGCTCTTAACAAAGGCTAACAGATGTGTTAGCTCTGGAAGTCGTAAACTGAGGTTAAATAGGCTAAGGCTAGTGGTTCGCAAGGCAAACCTGCGAAGATTAATGAGCTCTAACCAACTTGTGCTAGCTTCTAGTAGTGTGGCTTAAGAGGATCAACAATACGGCTCGTTGACCATTCCAATCCATGTGTCCAAGTTACTAACTTTGTAAACACCTTCAAATTTCAACTTTCCTAATTTCAATAGTTCCTACAGCTCCCCCAATAATCAAGGCGATTTCGCCCAACGAGGGATGGACAAGCGGTGGGGAGAGCGTTATGATAATTGGAGAGAACTTCTTTCACGGTCTCCAAGTGGTTTTTGGGAATACACCAGTCTGGAGTGAGGTGAGGGATTGTGTGGATCTTTTTCATACTGACGCCCATAGGAACATCGACACTTTCTCATTTGTCCTTATAGCTCATCACATCGAACGCTCTGCGAGTCCAGACACCGGCAAGATCTGCTCAGGGCGTTGTTGAGGTCTCACTTCTGTTCAACAATCGAGCCTTCTGTAAGCATGCGCCAGGCCGCTTCGCCTACACGTGTAAGTGGTCCTTGAGGACTCTCATAAGGCTCCTGAGCTAGTGTGAGTAAAATAGAGATATCATAGATCTGATGAACAGAAAACAGTCAAACGTCTGTCCAGAGCGGCAAAAATGACAGACAGATAAATAAGTGGAATAGGGAGAGGCATCTAGATGGATGAATAAGTTTATGCAAGTAGCTGGAAGGCTGAATGGGTGCAGGGGTAGATACGTGAATACCGTAGTGGATGGATGAAATGAAGAGAGGGTTCGAAATGTGGGTAGCCTCGTGGATTTTGACAAAAGAAAGGTAAAACCAATCGACTGATCCGAGAAGGATGATGACCAATGACAGAATAGACAAAAATGGGGGGCTAAATAATAAAATGAACATATTTTAGGCCTTGAATGTGCGAATGAAAGACAAATGACAGAGTGGATTAGTAAATCGTAGGATTGATGGATAGGTGCAAAAGTTTGTGTACGAAAACATTGATTATTAAAGGAAGGAGAGGTTGGCAAATAATTTAAAATAAAGTAGCAAGATGAGGCGGGATAATAAGAGTAGCCAAATTTACTTATGGTTGCGTTGATTTTTAGCTCTCAATGATCCCACCATCGAATACGGCTTCCAACGTCTACGAAAGATTATTCCTCGCCACCCAGGAGATCCGGAGCGGCTTCCTAGGGAGATAATCCTTAAGCGCGCAGCTGACCTTGCAGAAGCTCTATATTCCATGCCTAGTCGCGCTGCTGCTGCTGCTGCTGCCGCTGCTGCCGTCTCTTCAACCTCCGTCTCCACTGCTACTCACCACTTACCGATGGCATCAGCTCCACCACCTGGCCTGCCACATCCTACACCACCCTCACATTCGCTGTTGGCAACTCACATGCATCCACCACCACCAGCTCCCAGCCACTATGTTACAGAGGCAACTACTGGATTTGGAATCCTTCCACACTACCACCATCATCACCACCCCCTTCAATCCTCCAAGAGCGATCATGAGGTTATGCAGGTTACGAAAATGCTTCAAGAAGCACATAATAGCACGAGCAGCGCTGCCACCTCTGTGACGTCGGAAGGGGAGGAGGAGGAAGAGGGAGAAGGAGAGAATAGAGCTGCAGGAGGGAGTCCTCTAAAGGTTGTGGAAGAGAGACAAGAGGGTGAAAGTGAATCTGGAGGCAGACTTTGGCCTAAGCGACCCAGATTTGGGGTCAATAGGGGACAATCAAGCGGACAAGGAGAGGTATCTTGTGTAGTTTTCCTGAATTAGAAGTTTTTACTGCAATTTTTTGCTAATAAGGGACCTTTGCCGATTCAAGTGACTTGGCAAATAGCATACTGCGAAATTATTGTCAGTGGTAAGAGGTTCTGCCCAAACCGATGAGCAGTATCTACAAATACAATAAGGTGCGTTGGCAGAGATGACTTTGACTTTACATTCAACAACTCTTGAGAAATATTAGGAATTGAAGTTGGATCGCCAGAGGCTGACTTACTCTGTTCTAATGTGGGGTTTATTTGCAAAAGACATCTGCAAAATGGTCTGTCCCTCTGTTCTTTTCCGTATGATACAATTAAGGTTGAAAGAAGACCAAGGCAGATTGTCAAACCACTTTCATATTGAGAGGAAGTGAGTTCCTTAAAATAGCTTCCTTGGATGCCCAGACTGTCTCGATTATGAGGCGAATTAAGTGGTTTACTTCCAGAATATGGTCCATGTCATGTAAAATATGGCAAACAGCTGTGGAAACAAATTCTTACCGAAGTTCAAAATTCTGACAAGGTTATTGCACCTTAATTGTATTAAGAACACTTTACCCTTTTCCATAACTTGTCTAGATTCACTAATGACCACTGTAGGGAACTCAATATTTAGACAGTTGACGCAAGCCGATGAATTTTTGATAGGCCTCTTGTTAAGTGCTGAACTGTGTGCCAAATGCACCGGGAACGACGAAGGAACGCTGGTATACGATACAAATGAAAAAGCCAAGTGAATTCTATGCTATTTTAGGAGGCGGTTGAGACATACGAGCCTCGAGAGCATCCATCGAACGTGATATTTAGCAACATGGCACTTCTTACGACAGACGCTGAAATGCTGGCCACTTCTTCGAGTTCTGCTGTGGCAAATGCTGCCATCGCTGTCCCTGCGTCGACGTCGAAGACGCCAGAGACTTTCGAAACTACGTCCACGTCCACCTCTACCTCGCCTATCAATAATAACAACAGTGGTGGAGGCAGCGGTGCTAGCCTGGCAGCAAACCTACCGAGAACGCTGTTTAGAGAGCGAGGTGTAACGGGCGGACTTTACGAAAACGACTATTTTAACGCTGTCACCACGGGAACCGATGGCACCACTAATTACAGTTCTCAATCGTCTGTAAGTTGACGGAAGCATCTAAAAACAAAATAGTCAACCAATGTTCAATTGTACGATTTTTTTGCAAAAGGGAATAGAAAAGCGATCCTGCCGTATTGAAGCATAGATCGCTGGAGATAAATGTGGATAAATATCTAGGAATTGATGGTACAAAAGTTTCTGGTCACCCCAATTCGCGCTGTAAGATACATTACATTCAATACATCTTAGCTAATTCATTTAAAAGTCACTAATGACTAGTTGTAAAATGAGGACTAATAACGGGGCTTTACTCCGTCTAAGGATTTTTATGACTTGTTTGTTTCTTTCGATGGTCAGTTGCTATGGCAATTAATTGAACTGAATAGCTCGTGAGCCGTTTTTGAGCTGCAACGACTAAAGCCTTGATATTATCTCATTATAGGAGAATTAAAATGGATTTCGACACTATTAGAACACAAACATCACGCAAAGGTGGTTGTAGCACTTAGACCTGGAAGGAGGCATGAGAATATAGCTAATCGCCTAATCGAGTTGCCGGCCCATCGTCACAGTCACGCCCACCAGTCAACGAAGTTGAAAGCAACTGAATGGATGCGTTATCACGACGCTACTGATCACTTCGGTTAAATCTGCCAGATCCTAACTTTCAGCCTCTAAGATTTCAATCTGAAAAAGACGATTGGGACTTAAAAGTAATCATTTATGCCCATTACAGCGACGGTGTTGAAGTAGGAATGTCTAAAATATTGTCGTGGGTAAAAGGGTTTTACATATGCTCCTCGCCACTTTATTCACGTTTTTTTGCCGTCCAGTCGTATACCTACCTGGAGATCCAGCAGCTAGTAGAGAGGCAGGGAATTGGGTTACAGGCGGAGACCTCATTGGCACCTTCAAACAGACACAGCAAGCTTTCGCAGACAAGTCACGGTCATGACTGCTGTAGCTTCTTTTCCAACAGCATTACTATCGGACTTGGAACTAAAGCAGCTCCCGAAGGTCGTCCTTACAATTGTAATGAGTGAGAATAGTTGTTTTTTAGGATTGAGCACTTTTAGCCGACAATAACGCGGTGTATCGAATTTTTTAACAATAAAAGTGATTGAACTACTGGAAAAATTGATCTCTTTCGACTACGAAGAATTGTTAAAGTACTTCTGTGCTCGCCTTCATTACAAAGTCGACGTCTCAAATGCCACCGAGCCCAAAACAAAGAACTCCACATGTATTACACAACGCATTAGTTTATCCTTTTTTGCATTTTTTTAGAACTGGATACCGTTTGAATCGACTCACTGACTTCTACCAAGAGAAGGGTAGAAAGGCTGTGCTACGGCTCATCACGCAAAAAGTATTTTAATTTTTCTCCCTCCCCAACCTCTCCAAGTATCCTTCCCTCGTTTTATGCTCTTTTTAAATAAACTACATAATTTAATACATAAACGTCGGCTAGAGGAAAACTTGCCTGCATCTTACTGCGTCAGAAAAATCTTGGATAGTCTTTCCGTAGAAAATGTCTTACCTTAATGCTTTGCTGATAAGGCGGAATATGAGTTGACAACCCACAAAAGGGCTGAATGAGGGCTTCTGACGTGTCCTGTGGCCTTAAGGTCCCTGCTAAATCAAAAAGAGGATGTAAACAAACAGTTGGAATTAAGATTAGGGAGCCTCCAAGCGAAGGCATTGCTTCGGCACATCGCTGCTCATTAACATAACCGGGTTAGGGCGAATTGGTGGCAAAATTACTGCGAAATATAATATATTAGTCGCATTATTCCCCAAGGAGGAAGTTGTCGCCTCAATTGGAGGGATTACAGGTAGTTTGGTATGAGTCATGGGACTGGAGATGCATATCCAAGCAGAAAAGCGACAACCAATTGGAAGAAAAGTTGCACCCGTTCTGTTAAGGGCAATTCGGACGATTGCAAGTGGGTAACAATGACAAAGTCCTCTTCCGACTTAAAGTCACATGCCCATTTGAGGTGGCAAGAAGAACAATAATAGTGGTTCCAACAAGCAACTGATTAATTTGATTGTTTAATCAACTCCAACAGACAATTGTAGATGAGCGGCCAAGAGATGCCACATTTCTGAATGGCTTCTTGGTTTTGCAGGAACTGGAGGGTCTTTTTAGCGGCTTTCCTTCGTGGGTCCCTTATAAAAGTAGCACAAATAAAATGTAAGTAGAACGTAAGCAGGAATTGTTTCCTCGCCGAATTATGCGGTAACATTGTATTCCATTCGCATTTGTTTTAATTACCAACTTCGATAAAATTACATCCGATCAAAGTTGTTTGGAATTTCTGACCCCGTAAAATCTAATTTATCCAGTCCACTTTCACTCCACTCACACAACTGAGACGAGATAACATTGACTTGAATGTATGTAGCGATACTTTTAGGAATGACCAAAATTATGGCGACGCGTTGAAGGAACCACGTTGGAGAGTGGACGATTTATAATACAGCGAAAATAAGTTTACAGACACGATTATAATGTTCCGAGACTTCGACACACAGAGAGTCACTCACAGGATCTAAATGCTAGGCCACAGTAAAGTGACGAAGGTCCAAAGGAGTTTTCCCATGGAAAATAAAAGGCAAACAAGCAACTACCACATTATGAGCTTCTGTTTTTAAAGTACAATCCCGACACACTCTCTAGTCAAGGTTCCATGTCAACCACAATGGCATTTTCGGTGTTGTAAGAAAAATTTCAGGAAATTGACCGGTTTAACCATCGAATCTGCGTGCTGGGTGTGTAGTTTGTCCGGTGAAGTGGGCTTGGGAAGAGAGGGATGTGCTGCACATTATGTCTCCATAGGTAGTAGCAGGAGAAAGCATACTTATTTGACAATAAATGGGGTTAAATAAAATTGCGTAAAATAAAACGTTGTGTTTGTTTCAACCTACTATTTTATTTCTACTTCATAGCTAACCAACCATGCTTGCTTGCATTTCATCTAGCTGGTGGAGAAGGGGAAGAATAACAGTAGTCTTTTTACCGATGGCTTCATACAGATAAAATGTCTAGAGGTATACTGAAATTTCTAGAAATATTTTACAACTAGCTTTGCCTCATTTATGAGTAGCATCCGTGTACAACACGGGACTGGGATAGCTGACAAACGTAGACGCCATATTCGCCCCCTTTGTGTGGGGACGCCATCACGTTCCCCTTCCTTAGCATGCGAATACCTTCCGCTCAGGAATGATTTATTACTCGGTAGCAGGGAGCAATATAGTCTCCCTTTAGGTTTGGGCTGGTTCGTCACTCTCGGCATCCCAAGATCTAAAGACTTACTCGAGAATGCTATCCACCTGGCATAATGTAGAGCCTAAGGGTATTGCTATGGCTTGAAGACCAAGCATCCTGGCGGAAATAAAATAGCGAAGACAGCCTCTTGACCAAAACAATCTAGCGGTCAACTTATCGGCAAAGCCAAACCTCTTTTGGAGTTAGTTGGATGATTATGATATGATTAGCTTAAAAAAAGGCACTTTGCTACCTAAAACTGATACCTGGCTCTTACTTTTTATACGCCCAAGGAATACATTGGTTAATCTTGTAATGCTTCGCTCGTTTGACTGAGAGCTTCCACTACCTCTATAACTAACAGTCACGTGAGTGCTCACCCTGCTTTTGCTGCGTAGGCTGGTCCTATATCTTCCTCTTCTTTCTAAACCGCAAGTATGTAGCCGTACCTAATGCGTTCTCCTGAAAAATGGGGAGTATTGGTACGTTACAACCATACTACCTCATTCACGTGAGCTGATTATCGGCCCGTGCAAAACCCTTCATTCTCTCCCCGGATTTAAGTGCGATTAAAATTTTTCTCACATGGACAAAATGCTGATGAAAACCCAATAATGCAATAGATTGTTAAGTCGAATCAAAGAAGTGTGAAACCATGGTCATTTGAATTGTAGGCATTGGTAGCGGACATTTTGGAGCTTGTATTACTTCCGTCAGAGCAAAAGGGGAATATACATATAAAAATATGGTGCATGTTAAGTTGTTGATAAACCCTTGGAGTAAGATTCCAAAGCTAGGCATGCAATACTCTTTTCATGTGACCACCTGACGTCTCGCGGTTACTTTAAGTTTCATATGGCCCTTGTAAGTGTCGGCTGGCCTTCGGAGCAAGCCCAGGCCTATTCCTTTTGTTTAAGCTGAAAATAAATATGTTCAGCTCCATGTACTACTTTATTCTATCATAGCGGAGAGTCCTGAATTTCTATTTTGCCTCAATAGTATTCAGTGGACGCATGCATATCAAACGGTCTTCTGAGCATACTGCAAGGTTCAGGAAAAGTAGGTCTTGCGAAAATTTTCAGACTTTATTGATCAGATGAAAATCGATGAGGAATTAACAAATTGCTAACGAAGCAGCACTAGTGAGCACTTCTGATCGTGTAAAATGAGAAGCTGCGACAAGGGTAATTGACCATTTTATAAAGCTATTATAAAAACTAAAATAACTTAAAGTTAATTATAAAGAAAAAAGTATAGGGTATAGCTAAACTCTGTTGCAAGTTTTTCGAATTACAAAGTTAAAGATTATTTTTAATCAAATTTGATCATGTGTAATAAAATATTTAAGTAAATCTTACCTTTGTATCTTGCACTACGTATTAAATATTAATATTGCTTAGATACTGGGCATATTATAGTTATACACTAAGAATTTGTCGGATTTTCATTCAAAACTTGTGCTTGTTTTAATGGGCCTCAAGAAGCATTGGCTCGTCCTACAGTTCCATTATTAGCGTGGCTTGGAGGTACGCATTTTTGCGCTTCTTGGGTAGGCTATATTCTAGCTTTTAGAATGAGGGTTATTGCTTCGACCGAGCGCATAAAGGTTCCTACAAGTGTCAAGGTGTCGGTGCGGTCACGTGTCGTCACTGTCAAAGGGAAGCGGGGGATTCTGAAACGTAGTTTCCGTCATCTTGCACTGGACATTAGGGCGACAAAACGCGCCGTTACGGTCACAAAATACTTTGGTGTACGCAAAGAGTTGGCTGCTGTCCGCACTGTTTGTAGTCACATTGAGAACATGATAAAAGGTGTTCAATTTGGATATGAGTATAAAATGCAAACGTTGCACGCCCACTTCCCTATCAACGTTATTGTCCCTCCGGACGGTTCCAGGGTCTCCATCAAGAACTTCCTCGGTGAGCGGACCACTCGTGTTATTCCCATGCTCCCGGGTGTGAAGGCTATTGGGGGTGGTGGTGCTTCTGATACTCTTTTAATCCGAGGCAATAACATTGAGGATGTTTCCAAGTGCGGTAAGTCATTGTCGTGTTTCATTGATGCAAATTTTGCTAGCTGCTCTCATCCAACAATCGTGCTCTGCGCGTCATAAGGATATTCGAAAATTCTTGGATGGTATCTACGTTTCCAGTCGTGGCACTGTTGAAGAAATGAAGTGAATTTAATAATAAGCCTGTGGGACAAGATTTTACTTTCTCTTCCATTCTCCTGCTTGGTTGGATGTTATCCCAGTTGTCGAAATGGAAGGTAGAGAATGGATTATGAGTTGATGCATAATTCCGTCCGGATCTTAACGCCTCCTCGATAGTACCGAGGTCTTTAGATTCGGTATATTTTGTTGTCTCTCAGTGACCGAACCGTACCTCCTTTTGGAGTTTTAAAGTCGCTTATTCACTTGTCGGGTGATTAGGTGCATCCCCTCTCAAGCCTTACACCGATATCATACTTTCATACTTTCCAAAATAACTTCCATTCCTTCGGTTATGTAGTTCTTGGGGATGTTCCCTTACACTACATAGATCTGAGGCATTGCTCATCCATAAGTTTTTTTAGTTGGTTTATGCGGCCATGTAATGGGTTGTCGTTTTTCCTTTCTGATGTCACTGGCTTGTGGTTTATCGTGGTCGATTACCTCAAGCCCCAACGAACCGTTTGGCTTTAGGACTCCATGGTGACTGACAACTACACTGCCTTTGCATGAAGACTGTAAATTTGAACATCATCTCACTGTTTAACGTGGGGGCTTAATGTTCATTAGTTTCGTTACTGGTAAATACCTCATCCTCCCTCTAATGTCGTCTCTCCCATTGCGCTTGCTGCTACCATTAGCTACTGAGACGCCTTGTTTACGGTCGTACTGTATATCTGGTATATTTTGTGGTTGGGGGTATTAATGTGTCTGATGTGCAGGAAATGAGTAAGAAAATGTGTTTAAGTGGCAATTGGGGAGGGAGTGGGGGTTTTGATTAGCACAGTGGTTGGGTCGGAAAGCTTTGGGGCGGACTTGAGTTGGGTTCTGCCGAGGTGTTTGGCGATTTGGGGCTGGACGGTTTCTGTGGCTTTGTCCGACTAAAAAGCAAGGGATGAAAGTTACCTCTACTTTTTAGTTTAAGTAGAATTGGTTTTGCGCTTTGAAATTACATGCTTGAGTTGGTGTTTGAGGCAGCGGTACACTCGTGCAGGCGGTTGTGCATTTTCATACCCCGCGTAGTCTGACCGATATAACCACACAGGCGACACCGCAACTCAGAGCTTCCTCCTACATGCTCCCAATCTCCGTTTAAAGATCGAGAGGAGGGGGAGGTTTCACTGCTGTCGCCTTGTGAGAGTGGCGAGGTGGGCTTCATACACAGCGTCATTGGACAGCTGTCAACCTCTGTCAGACGTCGTCTTTTTGGTGAATGTGAATGCTCTGAACTTGTCGAAGATTTTGTGCTCTGCGGAGTGGACGAAGCTGTATTGCTGTGAAAAGTGGCTGTGTTCTCAGACGTCATGCTCCCCTTGCGACGCCCTTGGCAGTAGTACTGTTGATGTGCCTAAAAGATTAGACATTAAACCATTTATCGAGGAAATGTTTGTATGAGCAAAGCCTTTTTAGAGGAGAGTACTCTAATCAGCTATCAGAATCACGCAATAACCAAGGCGGCGCCAGTCTCAGCTCACGCAGCGTTGACGAATTAATCAGAAATCTCAATTTACAGACGAGGAAGAGAGGAGGAGTCGGTCTTATCAATATTTCCACCTACCGCAAGCCCTGTGCCCGGGCTATCGCTGCACGTGCGCGCTGACGCGCGCGTCTAAACCGGCGCCAGCATCTTCGTATCACCTCCATCTCGGTTTTGCTTGGCGCCTTTAAGCCGCAAGTCGCTTATCGCCTCGTCATCTATCAACACACTCGTGCACAGTTTCTCTACCTAATTTTCCTCTCCGCAACCTCTGCACTGAGGGCTTTGTAAACAATACACTTTCTATGCCCCAGGGAACAGAAACTATGAAGATTGCTTTGGCCGAATTAAGGCACGTCCTTACCTTAAGGAAGAAAGTTGGGGTTAGCTAGAGTTACAGAGTTTCTCAGCCGACAGATATGTTTTATGAGCGAACATCTACGGTATCGGTTCAATTTTCATTTTGCACATCGTATTCTCATTTTGCTCCTGCTTCGTTCCTTCTACTCCAATTTAGATTTGTTAAGTATCCGTCTAATGGTATAATCTTCCCTTGTGAGCAAATATTTATCATTACTTCGAAGGGGATGAAATGAGCTTTAATTTTCGACAAATGTAACCAAAAGCAAGATATTCAGCTGCCAGATATGTTAATGTCAAAGCTTGGAAAAGTCTTCCATTATTTTCGAAGAAATCAGGCGACTCGTGGAGCTTACCTTGAAAGTGGTGTAGGCCTGGAAGCGAGTTTGACAATTGGTGCAGAGATAGGGTCTCTGTACCTCAACAGTGGATCCTTCAGTGGAAGTTCTGGCAATATCTGCTGTTGTACTGAGGTGGTGCGACTGTCCCGACGCCACAGCTTGTAAAAAGGCTTCCAAGGCTGCTGCATCTGGCAATTTTCCTCCAAACCACCAGTTTGGAGGTGGAACCGGCGGTGGTGGTGGTGGCGGAGGTGGTGGGGGTGGCGGTGGCCCTGGAGGACTCAAGCCTCCGCTCACCAAACCCGAGATAATTGTTGCAAGAAGGCTGTTTGTTGCATTCTGCTGAGGTATCGTGGGCGCAGATCCTGTCTCTTCCGCTGCCACCACTGCTGCTGTCTCCTCTCCTGTCGACTTTGCAGTTCGAAGGTCGAGTGGAGCTCGCACTCCGCTTCCACCGCTTTCTCCCCTTCCCGTCCCACTTGCACTGCCACTTCCACCTCCACCGCAGATCGGATGCACTGGTACATAGACAAATCCTGCATCTGTAATGAGGGGAGCGGTCATCACTAGACCAAGGCGCTTTGCTGCGTCGGCCAGGTGACCCACGTCAGTGCTGCCTTCTGCAGCGAGCCTGTTCAAGTGTCGACTGATTCCCACGTGGAAGGAGAAAATGGAATTTGAGTAGAAACGCTGACATCCACGACAGTAGAGAGCACGAGACTTCTCCTCAGCCGAGAGGTGAAGTTGATGAGCTTGCTGTTCTGCCGTCACTGGTGGGGCTCTGCATCGACTAAGGGAAGCTAGGGTGGCAGCGAAGGTGACGAGGGGATCAGCATTGTTGGCAACAGCTGCAGCAGCAAGAACACTGCTCAGATCTGGAGGAGGACGGGGTAGGCCAGGAGGAGAGACACCGCTGCGTCCGCTGTTGCCGGCACCACCAACACTGCCACAGGGAGTCGACCGGCTGGTATTGTGTGGGGAGTGCGGGTTAGCTAGTCCGTTTAAACGCTTTCCTGGAGTGCTTCGGCTTGGCCAGGAGAAGGCTGAATGGAAGCGACAGGATAAGACGGAGAATATCTTTCGCTTCTTGAATCTCCTACATGGCGCAACTCCTGCAAAGCTTTACTTTGAAGGTGCCTGGAATATGCCCAACTCTGATCAAATAGAATATATTGCACAAATTGCGTTTCAATGTTCGAGCACATACTGTTTCGGTTGATTGTGAATGTTTATCCCTTCTGTTTGCGGCACACGAATCGGTTCATCAGCCACCATAAACTGACAAAACTTGTGGCGAACTGTAGTGGTTCGCGTACTTACGATAACATTAACAGCATTACAACCAATTTGCAACTTTTTGAGGTTATCTGCGCTGCTTTATTGGCCCTACGACGGAACTGAAGCTGGAACCGTCGAATCCTACGAGAATGCTCCGAATGACAAAGAATGCAATGGATCTGCCTTTGAATTACAAAAAAAAAAATAAATAATCAACAGTATTTAACGCGAAATTCCAAAGTTGGGACTTAAAGTAATCGGACACTAACCATCTAAATCCTACTTTACTCATCAAATCATAATTAAATTGCCCCGAGTATCGACACCGCATTGAGCAATGCATGCTTCAAAGGCATTTTAAACGCGCCTGCAAGGAAACATATGGTGACCAAAGCCTTAAACCAAACCAAACTCGGTTCATCCACCGCTCTAAATAGCATCTGGACCGAATTCCATTGAGAGCACTGATTTGGTTGCTATGGCAAATGGATGTAGGAAGGGATAGAGGGAGAGGCAGAGTTTAATTGCCCTCATGCAACTGCTCCCTAACCGACTGAGTGACCAACTTCAAAGGCGATTTATCGATGAGGTGGAGATAAAATCAACTCACCCGGCCATTTGAGATAAGGACCATTTAAGGCTTGTTTGCTTTCGCCTTATCTCTCATGTATCAACATTCATGTAGCTCCTTCCTCACCCCTTTCCTCCCTACCTTACTTCCTCTTTCCTGTTAAAAGAATTACTTCTCCCTCCCAATGAGTAGATTCCTTCCCACTGCACTGACCTGTGGGTCAACTTAAGACTCCCATGGTCCGGAGTCCATCCTTAGGAGAGAGAAAAGTGCTTTTAGTCTCTTGAGCTGATGCACTCATTCATGAGTTTAGCTAACGCCTGGAAGATTTTGTGAGAAAAAAATTTACTTGCACGGCCAAATCACTTTTGAAGGGATCAACTTTGAGCTGATAATGCTGTCTTCTGGTACAAATTTATCAATTGAGCAACACCACTAGAGGCTATTGTTTGGTTATCTGGAGCCAGACATTCCATGGAGTGTATGAACACGAAAGCTATTTTTATGGATTCTTTTTTAAACCACAAATGTCAATTTTACCGCTGAATACCCAAGGCTATCTTTGGGACACCATACAAATGCCCTGCCGTTAAGAGACTGCATTTCTTCAATGCAACAGTTTCCTTGGGTGTTGTCACAAGCTCTCATTGTCCCTGATTTGCCTTATTTTGATTAACTGGCCCTCAGTACTTTTATTTGACACTACCTTAACGTCGAGATTACTTTGTTTGCGTTTAGGGTGACTCCATCAGCACTGTCAAACTCTCCTTGGAAAATTGTTAGTTATCCTTATTGGTGTGCTCTTAATGACGATACACGATGTAATATCATCGCCAAGCTGTTACCGATTCTCTTCCTACTCCTTCTTTTCGTCCAAATTAAACAAATTCTCTCAACAATAAGCGTGTTAGATTGCATTTTCACAACTTGCCTTTAAAACCTACCTGAAGTTTGTGAGGTCGTGGGCTCACTGACTCCTGAGTCACCGGGTTCAGCAACACTAACAGCACTTTTGTCAGGAGTCGACGAGGTAGCCCCAACACCACCACTGTTGCCGCTGCCGCTTGTGGACGGCCCAGTGGGCGGTGTAGGGAGGTGAGGACGTCGCGAACAGTAGTTAGTCATGTGAGCAGTGAGGGTGTCCAAACTGGAGAAGAAGATGCCACAGTAAAGGCACTTTTTATCCCTCTTTGGACCACCCGTGGTCGTGGTCGCGGTTACACCTGCTGGGGCTCCACCATAACTCGGGTTGACTACTGGTGGTGAGGGCGATTCACTCTTAGCGGCTCCAGATGAATCTATATTGGGAAGAGGTGCTAATTAGTTCGCCACTTTGTATTTTGTAGGTGACTGCCAGTTTCGTAGACGTTTTTCTCTGAATTCAAGCCAAGTAGATAAATTTTGAACCTTGGTTGTCTTATCGTGCCGCCTTTGTTGCCATGGCGTCACTTCAGAGTCTATCAGCCACTCCCCTTTCCAACGTTTATACCCCATTACACCCTTTAAAGCCACCCTAGAAAATGCGGTAGTGTTGGTATTAAACAACCACAAAGTAAACATCATAGCAGATTAGCTATGGAAAGGTGTCGAATTCGGACTCGTCGCCAATTTCAAAGTGTGCAAAGTATTTTTTAGTAATGTGGTGAGGCAAGGTTACGCTGAATTGTAATAAAGAAATCAGACTTGAGAATGTACCTGTTGGTGAGCATCCTGCGGCCTTTAGGACCAAAGGTCACGCAGAACCTCATATTCAGGCTTTTCACCTGAATCTGAAGCACTCATTGAAAAGAAAATGACTTCACTACCTCTGATCTTGTTCAGCAGTTGATCATCAGAGAACTCGTGCTATCTTGAAAACAGTGGACTTAGGAGAAGTGGACTGAAAGAAGAGGAGACTATTCAACAAAATGATGTGTCCAGTTGAGACATCTTGATTGCCTACAAACTCTTTACTGTTACCAAACAAGTAACCGTCCTTAGCCTAACGACAAGCCTTTATCTGTTGGGATGCCTTGAAACGTCTTTAGAGATGTTTCATAGAGCGTCAGAACTGGCATTCAGCTGTCAGCCTCAAAAATGTGAATGTAATTATGTAGAAATGTAGAGATAGGCATCTTCAAACACGTCGTCGTAAGCCTACCAGGCTTTTTAGCCGGAGCCACCCAACACATTAAGATTGCTTGAAGAGATTGTGCGCGCCGGAAGGCAACTTGTACACACGCACACACACACACACGTATCTTCATCACCACCGCCATTGCCACCATCCCAATTCCCTTCCTTCTACTCTCTTTCTTATCCATTGCCTTACCAATCTAACCCTACAGTTACATGTGGTCACCATTCGACTGCCTTGACTCTGAGAGTGTTTAAAAGAAGAAGAGGAAGGAGAAGACTTTTAAAGATCTGGTCTGTGCTGTCCCTCTGCATACTGCTTTATTACAGAGATAAACCCATACTACTTCAGAGTCCTAATGAAGTACTCTTGTTTATCAACCCCCTTTCCCTCTCGCCCCTTCGCGACTCTAGCACCACTTTATCTGGCGCCTCGAAAGCAATTTCTCGGCATCCACAGATGATGATACCAGTGACGGCAGGCATGAAAAGGGAAGAAACTCACTAGGAGGGACCAGTTTAATTGCACCCCGGATTTGGCTGCCCGACGCGATGTTGGTGAGTGAGACCACACTTATTGTCTCGGGTACAACTGAGGATGGACGGGAATTGAGAGTTAGACGCTGAGGGAGAAATGCAAAGATCTCACAATTCAAAAGCCAACTAACTTTCTAAAATAATCTCCACATTTGAGGCGTCAGTTACGGCTGGCTCTTGAAGTAGTTTAATCCAGGCGTTCTCCTCATTCACTTGAACAATTAAATCACAGGCGTTTCCAGTCTAATGGCAAAAAAGCCTTCAAATAAAATTTTCAAGTGTAAGATCATTTCCTTATAATTCTATTCTCACTAGAACGGTGATCTGTCTGTGAGATGAGGTAGTGTTGCATTCGCTGGACGGACTTGTACTTCGAAACAGTCGAGCGATCCGATAAGGTCCCCAAATGTGACCTGCTGAGATATCGCAGGTAGCGCGCAAGGCAGGTTTTTCACCAGAGCCTCGATTTGGCTGCGACACAAATTTCATCTCCAATGGGAGTCGAATGTCTGGATCGAGCAGCGGAGGGGTTGGCTTGCGGTCTTCATTGATGTTCTGCGTCGTTTGGCGCTTTGTCTCAGCTACCAACAAGGCAAAACGGCACGTGTTGGGGCATTAAAGGGAACCATAAAGATGCGCAACACTCATAATCAACGATGTGTAATGTTGATAGGCAACCTTTATGAGTTTGTATGCTCAAGCCCTTTCCCCAATTCGCCTTTTTCTCTCACAAGAAAAAGGCTTTTCTATGACGACAAAATCTGTACTTCGTCTGTGGGTAATAGAAGAGGTGGGATTGAGAAGGAAATAGTGGACTTACTCCAAACGCTACATCCTTTCTTCGCTACTTAGTGCCGTCTTCCCGCTACTGAGATATTGAGAAAACCGAACTTTTAAGGAATACTTGCCCGAAAGCAGTCCCTATCGCCTGTCATCATCGAAGTAAACTTGTTGAGAGTTCGCCGCGGAAAGAGAAGGCAGATCACTGCCATGATAGTAGTCTCCATGCCATGTCAGGTGTATGTCCGCACGTGTGGGAGAGATTTTGACTGCGATTTTACATGGAATGCCTACAAAACCTTGCTACATACCATCAGATAACAGTGTGCCACTGGAGACTTACACGAATACAGCGACTGAAGCACGAGACGTCGGCAAAAGGGACATTTTATTCATTTCTTGATAGCAGTGTCGACATTAATACCGACGGCATATGGCACCATCCTATCGTGAGCAGCACTATCACCGAAGATGACTACTAACATCGGACAGCATGCTTGAAATCGACAGCCATCAATGATAAGTACTTTGCCATTGCCTTGCATGCAGTGCTGACAAGACAGCTTTCGAATTTTTCTATGCGCAATTATAAGAATGGTTGTCAGAAACATTATGACTTTAAGCACAATTCTTCCCCTTCCACTTTCAATAATCAAAACTGCCAACTGATTACTGGCAATGGGTTGCATGCCGCAACACGCAGCGTGCATCCTTCCAAGCATGATCGTGTAGAAGAAAAGGGAGACTTTAACTACGAAAGTATGTTTTAAATCCACATTGCATGGAAGAGCAAGGAGTCGTTAGGTTTAATTTGCAATCGAGTCAGTCGACTAGAGAGGCTGGACAGGTGGCATATGTGCTGGGCCAGATAATCAAGGTTATATAGATAAGTAGATAGAACCATGTATGTCTGGTTATACACATAAAGAAAGAGTTTGATAAATATGAAGAGATAGTGAGGGAGAGAGCGGGCTAGGGACGTGAGCCGGAGGCCGCAATATCTCGGTAGCTGATACGCACACCAGCGCGCATTCGATAAGAGCGACATGATAGCGCCTTATCTTGATGTGCAGAAAGCAAGGGGAGCTAGAAAGCATACACGTACTCGCGCACATATGTATAGTTACTAGTCCTGCTCTCTCTCTCTCTCTCTCTCTCTGTCGGTCGACAGAAAACCGTCTCCCTCTCTCGCTCTCTCTCTGCGTGTTTGTTACCGTTAGGGGGAGCCGTAGATATCATCTCTTTGCTGTTAACTACAGGAGCTGTGCAGATAGTATCACTGCACTACAAACCACTACTCATGTGCTCATGCGGTTGCAACTTAAAATCGGCCTGATCCGAATCCCATTCCTCTACGAACCTGCTTCAACTGATTTGATGCAGGAGTAAACCTCCCTACCGCAACCTAACTCGAAGCCATTGCGACAGCGAGCATACGGTTTCAACGCTACATCATAGGTGACTGAGCTAGGCCGATATGAGCTGGTAAGTTGTACGTACAGGAAGATATGAGGAAAGGAAAAAAACGCCCCTTGGAGGATCAGATAAGACGAGACGTTTCAAGTCACAAGAAGATATATGCTCATGCACACAGGGATATTCCCGCATATACACACGCACTTATATGCATATGTACACAGAGTTAGCAAGAAGTGGAATCAACCGCAACATGCATCCCGAAAAATATCGCTTTTGCAAAGTCAAAGTGATGGAGTTCAGTAGGCGAGGGTGTGTCCCTGCGACGGCCATTGAACTGTGTCCAGTCACGCACCCCGTCATTTTAGTTATTTACCATCGGAATCTCTAAGGAATTGGAATATTTTGATTCAAAGGGTAGATCAATTTCATTCCACATTTATTCTCTTCTTTTGGAGTTGCGGAATGCGCTTGAGATGCTGTACGGATTAGAACAGCATCACCAATTTATTATATCCGATCAAAAAGAATTTCAAGAGATTGAGACGACAAACAAATTGGATCTGTGCATCGTGAGACTTAAAAAAATCACCCGGATGCTTTATAGATAGTCGAAGTCGCTACCAGCATCAGAACCCCAAAGCAAGACGAGGCATTGAATTAGGCATTTATTTGCATGACGGGCACTCACTCAGAGGGCAGGTAAGCAGATTGCAACTGCCTGATAAGCGAACTCGCCATGATAACGACGAAATGATAAGACCTAATCAGATCATGCGAGGATGCAAGCCTTCCCTGGTTAGCTATGCTATACTAGGGTGGAGCGGGTGATTCTGTGTTCACCCCACCACCATCAGGTTCCCATCCCTATTTCGTCCCCACCCTCCCAATTCGCCTTATCTTATCTCTCTCACCATATCGACAGGGCGTGCGCACAAATGTCGACGACGCAGATTTGCATATGCACGCACATAGAAAGCAAGAGAGGGAAGAAGCGATAGCATCTGTTTTTCAATCGGCCGTTTCACTGCTCTCCTTCTCTCTCTGTCTATCTTCTCTTTCTACTTTGCTCCCTTTGCCTACCTTTCCTCCCCTACTCACACTTATGCCTGTCCTCTCCTTAGCGGTAAATAGGTCTAAGGCCTCCCAAGGTTGCCATATAACCTCACAGTGTTCGTCAATTAGGCGAAGAGAGAAATTCACTATCAGAGGTTGGTTATTCTGCTCTCAAGGTAAAGCATCATTTGCAATAATGAAGGTGGACAGGAACCATATTGTGATAGTATTTGCTGTAACTCCTTTTTTGTGGTGCTGTTTTAACAACTTGATGGTTAGGTAGGGAATCATATTGGTTTTAAATGAATTTTAAGGGAGGGTGGAATGGCATGGTAGTAGGGCCCTAAATAACCTAGCTGATGGACATACTGAAACCAGACGGACAACCTTTGGAAAGCGTAACCAAATACTCTAGATTGTAAATGGAAAAAACAAATTGCTGCAGAAAGTTTGTTCGGTGAAAATGTTGCTTTGAATCGTAAAGTTTGGCATTAATAGACTAGTATCGACTTCCTACAAAGTATTGGACACGAAAAAGAAAGAAGCACTCACGATTTACAGCCGAGGAAGCTTCACTGTTATGGGCCTCTGTGGTGGGTGAGACTGCATCCATAGGCTCGCACTTGGTTATGCAGGGCATTGGAAACGGAGAAATAAATCCTCACTTTCACTATCACGGCCCACCGTATTTGTGTGTGCTCGTGTTCGTGCCTGTGCGCAATTTTCTAATTGACTGCAACTTAAAGGGGGTCGGCACCCAAGCCATCTAAGCCAATCAGAGTCAGGACTTGCCTAGCCAATTAAATGGCCGCGCGAGAACTCCTGACTCAGCTGGCCAGCCAATCAGTGCTGCATAAAAGCGTGGTTAGCTTGGTTCCCTGTGTAAGGGCGGTGATTGATGGTGCTAAACCTATTCTTCCTGTCTGCTACACATATCTATTTACGGAAACACAAATCTAACTAAAGTAAAATCTTGTCACGATTAATTTAAAGGGACTGCCAAAGTTGCACCAAGAGGTTGTGGCGTAAAAATATTTGTGGAAGTAAATTACAAAAAGACGATGGTATAAAGCATGATCCCAAAAACGAAGATTCGGCCTGTATATCCAATTTTGCCTTTTTTAAGTAGAAAGAGGCCTACACTTAGATGCTCACATTTGGTTAAACTACCCTAATTGGGCTGTTAAAATTCAAATCATGTTAAGATTACGATGGTTTTACACATTTCTGCTGATGATCAAATCGTGTTACAATAAACAATACGAATTTTAGCTTTCTTCAAAGTACTGAATCCGATGGTACTAGAATTGGGATTGTGTACAAAAATCGGCACTTGTTTTATTCTTAGTTTTCAATAAATTTTGACCTTTTCTGAAATTCACCATATGTAACATGAATGCAGCTGTTGTATGACAATTTGTGCGGCTGAGATCTGTGAAGGCGCATATTTTGCCCTTAGCAAGACCAGCTTCTTTGCAAAATGGGTCATCAACTTACTTAGTTCAAACACTTTAGTAATTCAACCCAATATTAATTGTCATAAGCATATTTGCCATGCATTGCTTGATGCGGCCGTTCTCTTCACAGCGGTGGCGTTTCCTACCTTATGTTGATTGCCTCAAATTAAAATGAAACATGTGACGCACTTTGGTAAAGAATAGTCATAGTGAGCTAACAATTGAAACATTCTACAAACTTGTAACCAGATAGGTATGCGATGAGGCATCCCTCCTTAATCATAGCTTTATTTTAAAGGGTAATTTCGACGTTTTCTGCAATTCTTTGTAATTATTGCAAGTGCCTTTTAACGGAAGGTGTACTTTCGATGGATCAATGCGAAATCCGTCAAAATTGTAAGCATGAGTCCAAGCCAACTTTTTAACGTAAAAATACCGACAAGAATTTGTTATGCAGAATCAAACCGGTTTTCGTTATTAGCGTGACTGAGCCACGTCGCGTGGCTCAGTGACAAACGTGTAAATTTTCTGATTCCAAGACAATTAGATTATTTTGGCTTGTGGGCAGCATGATTTGGAATTAAAAACAGAAGTAGCTTGTTGATATGCCACCGAGGCCTAGGAAGCATGTTAACGTCTCCAAACCAGATGTTGATACCCTTCCTAAGCCTCGGTGGTAAGCGTCCCAACACCTGTCACTCGGGCTCCAAGAGATGGGTTAATCTCTCAGGTGATCAAGAGTAGAGGTCTATTTTGCCATAGGAGCTTCAATAACAAAGGCATTCTGGGTGATCGGTAAAATGGCTTTAAAATATTGTAGCAATTTTTTAGGCTTGATTAGCATGCAAAGACCATCGGAGCCATTGTTTCATCTCACCAATGTAATGTCTGGCGTCAAACACACCATTTTCTGGCGACATAAGCGCCATAATTCGAATGATTTTGAGTTAAATCTGATCCTACTAGTCAAAATTATTACTTTTACATGTTCACCACTCATTCGAGTCCCCAGAGCTTGTTTCCAATGGGTGAATTTAGAAGGTAGAAATCAACCCATTAACAAAATCTCGCATTTGAGAGGAAGAGAAAGAGAGATGGGAGGGTAAGATAGAGGCCTGTCGAAAGATCGCAGTTAGGGTAGCGAATGAGAGGTTTGCGCGATTCGATAAGTACGCAAAACCTGTTTTCTCTTGTGGAGTTCCCTATCTATCTCAGGTCGACCCTAAGGGGGCGTTTTCTGGGCGGCTCCAAACGATAAGATCACCGCTAAGGATCTGCGCGTTCCGCGCTCCCGCTTTCTCTCACTATGCGTCTCTGACGGCTGAGGAAGGAGGAAAAATTCCTACCGATCAGACTTTAAAAAAGTCCCATTTACTTACTAACGAGTGCATAAGCGCCTGTCCGAGTGAGATGTCACCATCACTGCAATGTCAATTTCTGTTTGAAGACAAATACCTCTGAGGCCTTTTATTTTATGCAAAAATGTGCTGAGTTAAAAGTTGAGGAAACAACTTTACAAAACACTAAAATTTAGCATTTGTAACAGCTCTTAGTTGCATTAGGTCTCAGCAACTCCACGGACTTGCCACCCAGTTCATTCCTAAAGAACTATCACGGTTGGCGACCTATTTTGCAGCCACAAGAGAAATAAATTTCCAGAGCTAGGAGGCTGTGCTGTTCCAGCTTGACTTTACGGCTCTGATAACGGCTGTGGCGTGTGTGTCTGGCGTCTTAAAGCCAACGAAACAATTTGGACGTGGGTAATTGTCAACGTTAATTATGAACTAATAGGTGCACCATTTCCATATTTGTGACACTGGTTAAGTTCGTGTCAAAGCCGTTCTCCTCCTTTCTACCTTTTAAACCTACTTCAGAAGATTCGAAATACCCTTCCGGGATTATCGTGACAAGCAGAAAATCGAGTTGAGCCTCATAGATCCAGTCACCTGTGATTTGACCATAATGTTCTTCTCCTCAAGAATTACAGTTCCATTAGTTTTTATTTGGGGAAATTAACAAAACAGGGGCGAATTTGTAGAGCTCATAATCTCTTTCATGGGTCAACTGCCTTACTCTGTCAATTCTCGCTGTAATCCGAGCAATGAAAGAGCTGAACCGATCGCGTTGGTTGCTTGTTCGATGGGATAAAACTGGCACCTTTTGATGACTTTCCTGAGGGTGCGTCCAAACATATCGTTGATTTGTTGGACGCAGGACAAATATTTCATATTTCCAGTGACTAGTGGACACACTTAGGATCGCTATTCCTTCCAGCCTGGTTTAAAGTAGGTTTCTGACCATCTGTCTTTCACAAAAGCATAAAATATTTAAAAATAAGTTTTAAGCTGAGTGAGAAAGCTAAGCAGTTGCAGAAAGTCGTTTTAAATACTTCATTTGTTAAAGTAGTCAAAATTACTATTTGCACTCACTCTCATTCCCCCAGGACGCTTTGTTATGAGAATAGAATAAGCTCTTTGATCTTTCCTCTGTTTAGGGTCTTCTCGCTCGATCTCCTGAGGCCGGGGGGAAGGGACAGGCAAACATCAAAACATAACCCGGAGGCGTGATGGTCAACACCATCTTCTCCTCATGAGGACGTTTCTGGCGTAAATACTTGTGGTGTCTGACTTGAAGAACTGATCTCCATCGTTGCTACAAAAACAACTTTTTGCATCTTCTTTGGCATTAGTTTTTTGGGTATCCATCAAGATAAAATTAAATAGGGGAACAGACAGGCCTACAGTTGGCTATAATTTCAACTAGCGATCGTTTGAAATAAAGTGGAGGACGCCTCGAGTGAAGGAGGAGGGATGGCGAATGGATCGTTTTGGAATAACTCAAGGTGTTCGTTTAGTTAGTGGACGTCGCAATGGGTAAGTTATTTTGCATCAAAAGTTAGTCTACAACATAAAAAATTTTACTGCAAGGTAAAGGAAGGAAATGAAGGTTTTTATTTTGGAGGTTTAGCAAGACCTGTGTCTACAAGTTGGTTGTGCCTATGACTCAACTTTGATTCGAGAAATCATTTCTAGTCTTAAACTAAAGTAAGTGGAAAGGGGTGAAACATTAGTTCTCTATCATTTCCGTTGTTTTAAGCCGACGAAACGCTTGTGTTATTGGCTGGACTATTGTCCAAAACTGAATCAGGAGCAATTAACTTCCAATGCAAATCGACGCACACAAGTGTTATCTGATGCTGATAGTCCATCTCGTGCTAGTCCAGTCAAGTCATGTTAAAGTGTAGTGTGCGATTTGCATATTTTGCGTGAGCGAGGGACTGATGCGTGGCTGCCCTTGCGACTCCACGCCCGCCTTTGATGCAATCGTGGGCTGCAGTCTTGCTTCCTTATTCGTAGACTCGTGTTTGGTGCGGCAATCTTGATCTTCTTAATACCTCAGTGCTTTGCAGGTGATTTTAACCAAAGTATTAACGTGAGCTATCGAATGTTGGCGTTAAGTCAATACAATGGTCACATGGAAAGTGCTATTTGGATTGTTTTGGAATCATTTCTTGTTACTTTAAGACCAAATCTTAAGTGTGAGATATGTGCCAGCTTGAAGTGGGGTGATACTTTCTCTTCAACTTCTTGTTGTATGATGCTTTTAGTGAGATGACATTCACTTCAAACTTGTGAAATCTGTGTAACAAAACCAACACTTCAGTGATGCAAGGCTTTGCCAATGCCATTTGCGCATCAAATTCCTCACAGCCCTCCTGTATGGTGGTGGCAAAGCCACTCACAGCGTCTCCAATGCTTTTAGTGGCCAGCAGTCTGTTTGGACAGTAGTAAGTCAAAATACTCGCTTCGACTCAAATCCATTGGCTGCGGCCCCTTTGTCATTAGGCAAGACAAAATTAAAAGGCTCGAAGTTTGTAATTCCTGGTTTAGGATACGCGTAGCGTTTTCGACAGCTTGATTACCGCTTAAATTTTCGTAGACGGACACCTCTACGAGTTGGATTTGTAGTCTTAGATCCTCCAAACACGTAACTCATTCCAACAATACATTCATTTCTCAGTTAAGGAACAAATAGTGGCTACATTGGGGACAGGTTATTGCTAACCCAAGCTCAGAGGCCAACCTCTTTGGCCCCAAGTTTCTGGCTGCATAGTCTGAGTGTGGTGGAAGAACGACATCAGCGTCCAATGGATCAACCAAATCAATCCTTAGTGGAAGGATTG